CTAGAAAGGGAAGTGGGGGAATCAGTAAGGAGAAACAGTATGACTTCATTAAGAACAGGTCAAGCCAGAATAGATTCATTTCCTTTTTTGAGAGCATTACAAGACCGGTAGATCAGGACAATTAGTTATATTTTTTTTACCCTGAATTCAACAAAGCATTTTTTAAAAGTAAGATTTATTGCTTATACACTATAGTTATTTCTGAATGTAACCCCCTATTTCTAAACATACAATAATATTCTAGTATACTCAAATACCACAAAAAGTGCAGTAAAGCATCTGACAGTCTCTTATACTATCCTTATGGAAAGAATGGAGAAATGTGGGTTAAATGATAATATAGTTAGGTAGATTCAAAATTGGCTGAATGGGAGGACTATAATAGTAGTCATTAATTGCTCAAAGTCTACTTGAAAGGAAGTCTCTAGTGGAGTGATACAGGATACTTAATTACTTGAATAAAGCCAGAGTTAGTAATACTCATCCAATTCTCAGATAAAAGAAAGCAAAGAGGTAGCAAATGTTTAATTAGTCAATATATAAAAAAGTATCAATAGGCTAGAACAAGTGACTGAATCTAATGAGTCAAAATTAACAAAGAGAAATGTAGAATTCTAAACTTGAGTTTATATTTGAAGGTTTTAATTGAGTATAAATTCAACAGGAATCCATAGTGTAACAAGGATGGGGAAGGAGAAGGGAATAATAAGCATTTGTTAAGCATCTACTGATGGAATCCTAATAGAGCTGCCCCCAGTCCCAATATCCTAATTTCCTTATGGGCCCCATTCAACAGTGGGCATGTCCTGATTTGACCACACAGCCCACATCATAGGCTCCCAAACTCTAAACCACTGCCCCTAGACTTAATACAGACATTGCCTCTAGCTAGCAATTACCCCTAGCTAGCCATTGCCCCCAGACTCAATCCTCTAGCTAGCCCCTGCCCTGAGATCCAATTCACATACTTCCCACAAAACAGGTGTGGCCATGTACCCAACCTGAATCACATCATCCGTCTTGACCAGACAGGACCACAACAGCTAGCCAATCAGAAGACAGCCCCACCAGGATATAGAGCAGGATACTAGACCGCCAAATCATAGAAAGGGCCCACCATAAGATAGCGCCTGTGCAGTAATTGTTAAAGGACTGACCTACAGTGAACTTATGCCATAGAGAGGCTTATTATAATATCATTATCATACGTACATACCCCAACAAAGGGGTTTTTCTGTATGCAATGTGGGTAACTGGATATGCAGTTCTACTGAGGCTGGGATCCCTCCCCATTACCTAATCCCTTAACAAATTCTCCCTGCCTTTTTAATATTCATAATTTCTGTTGTGTAATCAGCATCATTACACTATAAATTTGCCTGTGTTGTCTTACTAAGTTGCTGGTTCCTCTTGGAACCTAACCTACTTCTAAGGGGTGTCAATCTTCAATAAATGCCTGTACTTGGATTAGAGGTGATCTGACTCTGAATTCTTCGAGACAGTGCCACCACAACACAACATGAAACCACGATATCTACTATGTGTCAGGCACTATGCTTATTATCACTTTACAAAATATTATCTAATTTAATTCCACAACAATTGTAGAGGTAGGTGTTATTATTATCCTCATTTTACAATTGAGAAAACTGAGGCAGAGGGCAAATGACTTGCCCAGGATCACAAAGCTAGGACTTGTTTAAGGCTGCATTTAAACTCTGGTCTTCCCAACTCCAGGCCCAGTGTTCTACCTACTGCTAGGTAACCACCTTTTGTGATCTTGGGCTGCCTTCAGAGATGCAGGTTGTCTAGGACTAGGGAAAGGATGGTTCCTCTGTTCTATCCTATTCAGATTGCATGTGCATCTTCTGGGTATCACATTCTAAGAAGGGCACTGACAATTTCGGCATATCCGCAGGTGCCTGTTCATGACGGTGAAGGGCCTTGACACTTTACTATGTGAAGATTAGTTTTTGAAATTGATAGGTATAGAGGTAGTTCTCCTTCCAATACACAAAACAATTCAAGTAAAAAGTCCCTAAATTCAGAAAACTCACCATCAACTAGAAGATAAATGAAAACAAAGCAAAACAAATTATGAGGTAATTATGGGAGAAAAAAACCTAGAGAACACCTCACAAACCAGTTGTCTATGGCTTAATATTTTTTAAATTAAATTTTATTTTTTAATGAAGAAATGTCTTTTTTTATTCTTTCCACTCTTCTGCCATTTTGGCTTCTCCCTCCACTTTCACAATCCACTTGGTATTATGATCTTCCTGGTACCTGCAATTTGAAAAGGGGGATAGTGCTTCTAGGGTAGGTGAAAGTAGCAGGTATCACTGGGCGCCCTCCCTCCAAAAACTTTCCCAGAGATGGCCCAAAGCAGTTTCTTATCCCTCTTGGCTGCTGCTGCAATTTTAGGCATAAGATTTTTGAAGTTAGTCCCTTCGAGTTTCTCAGGAGGAACAATGCTAATAAGGCAAGCTGAGGCCAGTGAATGAGACCATCCCTGAGGCCTGATAAGGAAAGAGGGATGATTAATTTAAGGAAGAGTACTTAAGGGAAACATGATAGCTCTCTTCAAATATTGCTTTCTATTGTTTAAAAATTTGATAAGCATCACTACCTATACTTTTATTCGAGTAATTAAGTGAAGTGCTGGCATGTGGAAGAGGAATCAACTTGCTCTGTTAAACCCTAGAAGGCAGACCTAGGAGCGATGTTTGGAATTTGTAGAGAGACTAATAGGCTCAATATAACAAAAAAAAAAATTGAGCAATTAAAAAATGAATAAGTTGCCTCAGGAGAGAGAGTGTTACCCTTCATGAGTGCTCATCAATAAAAGCTAGATGACTACATGTTGGGAATATGGCAGCAGAATTTCCTATATAGATACAGATTGAATGTAATGGCCTGAGGTCCCTTCTAGCTCTGTGTTTCTGAGTAGGGAAGTCTCTGTGAGCAACTTAGTTATCCTCTATCCAGCAGTCTTCTTTCAGGACTACCTAGATGGTATTATTTATGTATGGGAACAAATTGGATAGCTATCCATCCTTGGCTGGACTTTTGGAGCTAGTACTCATGAAAGAAGAAAAAGGGATATTAAATACAGAATGTCTATAGTTGGCTTGAGATGATTTCATTTTATCTATATTTGGAAGATATATAAATAAAAACTTAGAAGAAAATATGGTCTTCAATTCAACAAATATGAACAGCTTAGCACATGAAAGATACTGAGCTAGGCATTAGTGATAAAAAAAGACAAAAACAAAAGTCTTTATCCTCAAGGAACTTATTTTAAATTCTGATGCTCTCCATCTCCACTTTATTTTAATCATTCACAAGGGTGATTCCACTCAGTTAATCATCCATTCAGTTGACAATTCATTCTATCTCACCCTCCATATTCAATCTTTTTACAAATAGTATCAGTTTTACCTTTATAAAATGTCTTGTATATGCCCCTTTCATTTCTCTGCCACTGCTACCACCTTGATGCAAACCCTCATTTCCTCATGGCTGGACTTTTTCAACAGTCTGCTGGTGGGTCTGCCTGCCTCGTCTCTCCTTACTTGTCTATGCTACATTCAGCTGTCAAATTAATCTTCCAAAAGCACAGGTCTGATCCTGTCACACACCCCTCCCCCCATTCAAAAATTCCAATGGTTGCTTATTATCTCCAGGATCAAATATAAAATTCTCAGTCATTCAAAGCCCTTCATAATCTGTCCCCCCGCCACCATCTTTCCAGTCTTTCTTATACCTTACTCACTTTCATGTACTTTGAAGTACAGTGACATCTGCCACCGCCCCCTTGCTGTTCCTGAAACATGACATTTCAGTTGCCCACTCCCTTGCTTTTTCACTGGTTGCTTTCCACGATGCAGGGGAGAATTCTCTCCCTCCTCATTTCTGCCTCCTGGCTTCCTTTAATTCCCACTAAAATTCCACATTCTTCAAGAAGCTTTTCCTCATTTTCATGCCTTCCCTCTGCCTGCTCTCTCCAATTTGGTCCTGCTCACTGGAGATCTTGGAGAAAAGGGTTGAGAACCAAATAGGAGGACATTGTAGAAAGAATTCTTTTCAGATAGGGTTTGGACTAGATGGTCTCTGAGGTCCTTTTCAATTATGAGATTCTCCTTGTCCCATATTCTACATTTTAACTAAATCAGATTGCTCTAGATCTCCTTTTCTCACTCTGTGATCTCCAGTTTGTGTACTTTTAATCATATGGTTCCTCCATCTGTACAATGAGTTTCAGCATATGTAAAAATCCTCTCTTTTCTTTAAGGTCAAACTTAGGTATCATACCGCCAATGAAGCTTTTCCTGATCTGCAAGTTGAAAATGATCTCTTCTTTCTTTTTTAAAGACTAAAAATATTTTCATAAGATGTAAAAAAAGTCTTTAAAAAACTTTTATATCCTTAAATTGGCCAAATACAGTTAACTTTCTTTTCTTTGAAAAAAGACCAGTTCAAAAGATAATAATTATTATTTGACTTTATTGTTAATGCCTGGACATTTTAAAAGTCACTTCCCCTTGGGACACCTTGGCTTGAGAAAAATAGAAGAAAAAAAATCTGGCCCAGTTACATTACCTATGTAGGGATTTTATGGCATTAGATTGAGAAAAATCTTTTTCATGTACACACTTGCATATTTTTGATGTTACAATGTGCTTAAACAATGATGAAGTGATTCATGGTGCAATCTCTTGTTGATTCACTGTGGAGACTTAAGAAAGTGCTGAGACTCATCAGAAAAGTAAAATTTGGTTTGGCTCAGCTGATTATTCCCAGTTAGATAGTAAGTATAAAGAGGCCTACATATATGCATACGTACATGAAAACATTTTTGAAATTTTTCTAAGAAATGCTTAAACTATATGCAGGTTACAGTAGCAATAACATTGCTAATTGCTTGATTGTTATTTCTTTTCTGAAGAAAAGTTATTGTACCAAAAGGTATAGAACCCAAAGAGCATGCCACTTACCATAACTCGGCTTCCCCACAATACAATGAAGGTGAATCTCTCTTTTGATGAAATAAGCTGTTATGCGAAGCCTATATCCTATAAGACAATGAAAAAAATAATCATCAGGCTCAAGAACATTATTTCAGAACAGATATTCATTTTAGACCTGGTTTCTTGGGATAGTTCTATAAATGCCCTAGTTACATCATTTACAAAATGACATAAACAAGTAAAGGTGAAAGAATACTTCTGAGTCCCACACTTTTTTTTTTTGGTGAGGCAATTGGGGTTAAGTGACTTGCCCAGAGTCACACAGATAGTGAGTGTTATGTGTCTGAGGCCAGTTTTGAACTCAGGGCTTCCTGACTCCAGGGCTGCTCTATCTACTGTGCCACCTAGCTATCCCCTGAATCCCACACTTTTAAAGCAAAATAACGAATTAAATTGTCTGCTGCTTAGGTTAGACATTAAACATCATTTTGGAACATAGTCTTTATGGCAGCTGCCTACCTCAAATAAAGAACTTTTGTTTGCTTTCAAAAATAAGTTTGTCACTTTCCTGTCAGATACCAGGTATACTTTCCAATAAAAGATAATGCTTCAACGTAATCTGTTGGAAGATGTCCAAGAGAGATGTGGCATAGGGATAGCTCTCCTCCCACTACACACAAAATGATTGAAGTAAAAAGCCTCCAAATTCAGAAAACTCTCATCATCAACTAGAAAATAAATGAAAAAAAAATCCATGAGGTCTTTAGTTCCAGACTCCCATACATGCCTGGTTAAATCAAGTGGCTAAATTTGATTTGGAGATTGGGGGGGCTGTAGTAGCTCTCCACACAAATAGGAGCTCTGGGGATGCTGGAAGGTAACATAATGGCCACTGCCATGCTAGATGGGCAGAGTGGGATGATATTCTCTCCCATAAAAAACTTTGCGTTTAGTTTTTAAAACAAGGGGTCATTGACTGTCAATCTAAGGAGGTGTTAGTAAAATTGTATTGAGATGGTCACAACTAGACTAGTAAGCGTGCTTCTATTCCGTCGAAAATCTAAGACATCCCTAAACTCCCACTCTATTTGACAGGTTCTCTATCCTCCCAGCTGTTAGTTAGCTTGTTAGACACAGGTTTTGTGTCCATATTTGGAGGACTGTTAGAAAGAGTCCTCTTTGGGCAAGGGCTGTTTTAGCTGCAGAACCAGAGGCTGTGCACCAGAGTTACCAGGACTTAGAAAGCTAATGGACATTGATAAAAGATATAGAATGGAATGCTGAGAATCAGACTTCTTTTGCTGACTCATGGGCCAGCTGTAGGCATGAATCGGACGTGGGGGTATGGCAATATGCAAAATCTTAACTTTTTTTTTTATCATTCTTAACAATCTTCTGTAATAGAGATATTTTAGTTGACAGGAAATGGTAAATTCTGCCATTAAAAATGGAAATGCTCAAGTGTGATTTGATCACCATGATGTCAGGATTTCAGAATTTCAAATGCTGTTGTAAATTTAAAGTAATGGATTCTAGAACTTTAACATGTAGCTTACTCTTTTTCTTTTTTTACAGCTACTCCATCTTAAAAGTTTTTTTCTCTATCAAGAAACGTAGTTTTCCTAAATTTTATTTCCTTGTGCACAAAAGAAAAAAATGGATCATCTTTAGTTGGAACTTTTTGTTTTTAACTGTTGTTATGATCAGAATTTAATATTATCACAACTACTTTAAAGTTATTTTGAGTTCTTGTGGCTATTGTGACTGTTTGAATGAAGATTATGTAGCTATCCTTTTCAACCCAATATAGAAGAGTACCCAAAGGCAACATAACATAGGAACACCCTAAATTCTACTGGGAGTTTTGGGAAAGAGTGCTTTTGCTTAGATAGAGGAGATGAAATATTATCTGTTTGGGTCTCAGCTGTGGTGACTGATCAGGGCAACTGAACTGCGACCATGGACATCATGATTTCTTAGGAATTGCTTTTAATAGTTTCTTGCAAGTTACTACGGGCAAAGCTAAATGGAAGCCCTTGGAGTTATCTGAACCATCCCACATCACTAATATTAAAAAATGTTTGGTTCCAGGATAGAAGTGAAAGATATCTTCTCTTCAGTAATGGAAATGAAGAAGAATAGAGTAATTGGCTATACAAATCTCCTTATAATAACCCTACGTAGCCAGTGAAGAAGGTGGATGGTACCCAGTGATTAAAAGTAAATTACTTGGAGTTAAAAAAAAGTAATTGTGCTGATTGCTGCCGTCATTCCTGATTTTGTAGATTAGAGAACCCAGGCACTATGTGAGTGGTTTGGGGCTACTGATCTTACCAATGCTTCCTTCTCCATCCCTATTGCTGAAATTAGGCAGACACAGAGGGTCTATAGTGTTGGATTTCCTTCGAAGACTGTCATAATGTGAAAAGATAATACAGACTTGCACCACATTGTGAGTCAGGAGAGCTGTATTCTAGTCACAGTTATTACCTAGCTTGAGGTCCTAAGCATACTATCTCACCACCACAGACTTACCGGTTTCTTCATCTGTAAAATAAGGGGTCCAGACTTCACAACCCCTAAGGATTCATTTGTCTTTAAATATACTTTATGATCTCAATTTTATTAAATATCTTACTATATTTAAAGAAGAAAACTAAAGAAAATTACCAAGTTTTTTTCACTTTGACAATCACAATTCTTCTAATATATTTTTCAGTGAAATCAAACATTAAAAACTTTCTTTCCTAAACAAACTGGTGATGTAACACATAATCTCTTTTGTTGATAATGCATGAAAAAAGAGATGCTAATTGAAACTAAAAAAGGTTATTTACAGATTTAGTGAAATGATATAAAATTTCCTAAAACACACATCTATAATACTAGAAGAGCAGATTTCATCCAGGTCATGTGGTTTTCTTCTGACAAAAAGGTCAAAGAAAATGTGCAAATCTTTTGCATTACATGGATTTCTATAAAGCAGATACTTTATGAGGTAATTTTAAGAATAGAAATATATTTTACATTTGTTTGTCTTGTTACTTTGGCATTTTGTAAGACATAAATTGGTGGCTATGGACTAACAAAATCACTGCGTTGAAATTGATTTTCAATAGCAATGGTTTATAATGTTTTCCCCCATAATATGGAAAAATATGAAATATGTAATATTTTTCTAGGCCACCCAACTTCTGCTGGTGTATTAAATGCTCTGGGTAATTAAGACTCAGATGATGTGTTAATAAATATCATACATTTGAGATGCTATTAAAGTTACTCATTTCAATTTACCCCAATTGATAAAATCTTCCATTTTACTTTCAGTAAAGGGACAAATGAGAAAAATTAATTTTTTTGTGTGTTTTAACCCTGAAAATCTGTAACTTACTATGTAAGTGGAAAACAGCATTTAAATTCTATGAAATCTGTTCTACCTCTCTGGTTTGGTAGGCATAAACTAGAGTTTTGCTATCAGAGTGTAACTTTCACTATTCAGCACATATCAGTAAAAGGTAGTACATCCAACATAATTTCTCACCGAAACTGCACAGGAACTTTACTACAATACCTAAAATATAACCCAATATTACAGAGTACAATGCAATTCAACTCAACAACTATTCATTAAAATCCTATTATGCTACAGTAACTAAGATAGGCATTAGAAATAAAAAGACAAAAAGGAAAATTTTCAGCTAGCTGGTGAAAAACTGGGAAAAAATAGAGACAAGAGTCATGGAGGATGAGATGGCATGGATGAGCTTGTAATTTGCATAAAAGGAGGCCATAATCACATTGATGAGATCATAGATCTATTAAAGTATCAAAGTAATTTTATGTAAGTTACAACCTTTCTGAGGCTATTTTCTCGTCTGTAAAATGGAGATAATAACACCTGTGTACTACTCACCTTACCTCACAGGGTAGTTCTGAGGAAATTGCTTTGCAAATGTGGGACTGGATAGAAGGCTAGATATGGAGGCCCTAGGTTCATACCCTAGCTCTGCTATATATAGTACCACCACAAGGGTCTCGAACTTCATTGCTTTGGGCTTTGATGTCCTCATACATAAAATTAAGGGTTTGGATTAGATGATCTCTGAAGTCTTCTCTTCTTGATCTAAATCTGTGATCCATAAAGCACTACTGAAAGAGGTTTTACTTTATTGTATTTTAGAAAGTAATTCTGGTATGACCATGGATTTTCTAAATAATGAAGTTTCCAGGATTGGTTAGAACACATTATTTCTCATAAGCATCATCAACTATTACAGATCAACTCTTTCCTTCTCTACAGGGTGTCCCCAAAGTCTTAGTACAATTCTAATCTCTACATCATCTAACCTTTAATAGTTTAGCACTGCATTAAAACTTAGGGGACACCCCAGATTAACTCTTAATTAATTCCCTCTACCTTTCTACTCATCATTTTTTGATAACTACAACAAAAATGAAGGCCTGTCACCGAGTAAAATCTTACCTAGTTCAATAAGTTGTTCAGAAAGGAACATTTAATCTCTAAGAAAAGGGAGGAAAATTATCCTTATAAGTGCAAAGACAAACAATAAACATAGTAAGTTTGTTAGCTTTTCGAAAATTTCATATTTTGCTGCAAACGGTTTTTATTGGTAGTTCAAAAAATTCATTAACAGAAGCTAAAACTCCAAATGTGACTTAAACAAATTCCATTCAAGCTTAGAGAGACTGTAGTTTACTTTTAAGCAGCAATGTGCTCCAGTGAGTAATGCATTTTAAGGGAGTGGTAATTTGCCCCGGTTGTTATATTTCATGGTCCCAGGATACTGAGAGGAAATATCAGACACTGGGTTTTTACTGTAAAATTATCCAGCATCACTTGTTTTCCAGTGGACTCACAGCCAAGTTGACTTGAGCTTCCACAAAGCTGCCAAGTAGAGTCTGTGGTACAGTGCATAACAGGAGAAAGCCCTCTCCCACGGCTATTAGAGACCATTCATCTGGGAGCCTGGGAAAATGCCTCTGACTGACGGAGTTATCTGGAGTAGCCTGGCAGGTGTTTGCTTCCCAGCAAGTTCTGGCACCTGCATGACTCCCTTGCTGAATCCAGCAAAGTCTTCTCCAAA